GTTACCCACGTCAGCAAGCCTCACCACCCGATCCCATTAGTCACCTTTTACGACAAGTCGACGGGTCTCATGTGCCATCTCTTTGCCATCCTTCTCTGGTTAATGGCATTTGCAATTCTCACCTTAACTCCTGGTATAAGGGACTCGGGGGTTGTCGATCTCGTCTCCCCTCGACAATCTGTTACGCTTGGCATTCTATAAGGTAACTATATATTTTTTCATCATCTGAGCCTATTACTTTGTCTACTACTTCGGGTATTCACCCGTTCCATTGGAATCTACCTCCGGCCACGGCTTCCAAACAACCCGGTACAGTTGTTTAAAGTACTCTGTATCACATACAAGGGTCTAAATGGCATAGCACCAGTATTTCTAATTGTTTCAGTGAATTGCCCTTCAACCACCCAGACAACTGCGATCTGGAAGCAATTCTTATTGAATACTCCTTCTTACAGACTGCCTTGGCCTCTTATTGAGAATGCTCTTTCAGTGGTTGCGCGCCTTCACTGTGGAATAGTCTGTTCCTCGCTATAAACTGTTTCCATGTTTTAACTGTGTTCAGATCACATCTTTCAACGCATCTCTTTCACTTGAGCATCCACTTTGTAGTTGGATTTCGCGATATGTAACTTTCATTATTATTATATTATTATCATTACTGAATTAGCAACACCACGGCTATATTCGAGGCCAGGGTTCAAATCAATCCGCTGTCCCACGAGGCGACGGCAGTTCAGGTAGCACATGCGTCGGGCCAGGTGAATGAATCAGATAACGGGGATTACACGTGCATTTTCTTGCCAGAATGCACTGTTAGCTGAGCGCTCCATGGGAAGCACGGGCGATATACCATTAGGTTGGAAACAAGCCTGATATAAAGTCACTGAATACAGGCAAGTGTGTTTATTCATTTGCCTTTATATATCCAGCAGGGCAAATGGGTACCTGGTGGGATAAATCATGTTGCTATTCAATTTTCTCGTGCCTCTTGGCAGCCTGGATTATCAGGGGTAATAAAAGGTAACATGTCAACACCTTGAGCATGTGCCTTGTACCTGGAAAAGGCGTGTTGTAGGGCACATTTATTGTTCAAGTGCCTATTATCCCTCTGCATTCTGACGGATCTTGGAAGGTGTATTCATCGTTCGTTTACTTTTTCATCATCCTCATCTCCCTAAACACGCTCATGGCATCTTCCGTTGGTCTACCTACTTCTGCCATGCTTTGCAACCTTGTATTAAGCTGGGCCCCGTCTCGCTTATAGCAATATACGCAATGTGGCGCACGTCCGCGAGCGTAACGGGAGCCGGGAACCAGCTTAGGAACCAGCTTAGACCTTGTGTAAACTACTATATAACAAATTATTTCATTGGCTGATAAATAGTATTTACTGCGGACTGAATGACGCTGATTGGCCGAGAGCTCATACATTGTAAATTGGCGCCGTAAACATTGTGTTGTTAGGTTGTAGAGTGTTACGGGCGGACATGAGTTTAATCATGGGTTTAATCAACGGCGCATTGAGTAGTATGTCCTTTTCTTTGAAGGTACGTTTCTTTAGACATATGACGCGCCATTGGAGATGCGCTGTAAGAATTTTATGCACCATGTGGGAGTACTGTTCACTTTACAACGGGCTGGCAATTTTTCAGATTTAATCAGGCTTACCATCCTCGCTAGGGTATGGATAGACAAGCCCATGTCAACCTTGTTCAGCAGGATTAGGGCACTTTTCAGATTCCTGCTGGGGTGCTAATTACTGATGGGTGCTAATTTAATTAGCCGACACGGTACCTCGGGACCACGGGTGCGATCACAGCCAGCATGTGCTCGTTTAACGGGTCATTACCACAGTAGCACTGCAGCCCTGTGCATGCGCAATGGTTTGTTTTCATTTGCCGCGCATGCGCAGTGCTCAGTCTCCGCCTACCCATTCATCAACTCGGAAGCCACACCTAGCTATTGTTATCAAGATGTCACCCAACCAATCGGAAGAAGCCATGATTTATGACGACGTTTATCGTCTGACTTTCGATTCTTCAGTTCTTGTCGACTGGCTGACTACTCGCGGGGTCATAGGTGACTTCGGTGGAGCCTGCCCCCGTTGTACTACCGGTCAGCTGACTCGGAAAAAGACTCCAGCTACGGTCGTGATGGTTTGGTCTGGCGATGCCGGGTCAAGACCTGCGGTCAGAAAGTTTCGATCCGGGAGGGGAGCTGTTTTGCCGGCTCTCATCTCACTCTGCCGCAATTGATGAAGCACCTTTATTACTGGGTGTACAAGACGCCGTCTCATGTGATCCAGCGGGAACTGAGGATCGGATCGTGCCACACCTTGGTCGATTGGAACATGTTTTGCCGGGAAGTCTGCATGACAGTAATAGAGGCGGACAGTTCCAAGATCGGTGGCCCTGGAACCACGGTGGAAATCGATGAATCCAAGTTTGGCAAGAGGAAATACCACCGTGGGAAAAGGGTCGAGGGTGTTTGGGTGCTTGGCGGCATTGAACGTGAAAGTCGGCAAGTATTCCTCACCACCCTGACCGACCGAAGTGCGGACACCCTCCTACCCGCTATTGAGAAGCATGTGGCTAAGGGAACCACAATTATCACTGATTGCTGGAAGGCTTACAACAAGCTTGGGAAACTTGGCTACACCCACATGACTGTGAACCATAGTGTAAACTTTAAGGACCCAGAGACAGGTGCTCACACGAACACCATCGAATCAACCTGGCGAGCGGTGAAGAACACTGGACTACCTGGCTCTGGGACCCAGAAAGCACTCTATGACTCGTACTTTGTTGAGTACATTTTCCGGCGAAAGTACTTGTCTGGGGCTCCAGACAAGTACCTCTCTTTCTTGGAGGCAGTGAAGCGGGTATATGCACCGACCCTTGATCGTGTGGTAGATCGCCTGGAACGAAAGCCTCTGGCTGAGAAGATGTAAAGCTACCCGACGTGTTTCGTCCAAGAAAAACAGACAACAAGCGAAACACGTCTGCAGTTTCCTTTTGGAAACCAAGCTGCACTGACGAGTCCTGGTGGGACGTGTTTCAAAACCAATTGGATGAATTTTTCAAAACCAAGGGATGCAACCCTAACCCTAAACCCTAACCCTAAGGATAGTAAAGGGGTGCCCAACCCTAACCCTAACCCTAAGGATAGTAAAGGGGTGCCCAACCCTAACCCTAAACCCTAACCCTAAGGATAGTAAAGGGGTGCCTAACCCTAACCCTAAAACCCTAAGGAGTGCAGTAAAGGGGTGCCCAACCCGACTATAGTAGCTCTTGCCCCTAACCTGATTGCTCATTAGCGACCTTTCTTCGCATGCGCGCGGGCTGCGCCGGTAAACTGCATTCTAGCCTTTTTTTCCTCTCCAGTGATTCCAATTGATAAGGAATTCTCACATCTGTTCTCGAAATTATCCCAAACTTCCTAATCACGTTCCTCGATCCAAGGCAGTTTTAGGTTTTGCATTATAGTACAAGACAGTGCAGTGCCTTGTCTTGGGTATCGGGTAGCTTCCTCACCAAGGTTTTGAGGATTTTTGGCAATTAATCAAGATATCATGGTGGTCATGTCAGCCCACCCACGAGGGATGCTTGCCCACTCCTCTTTGGATGTCGTTTTTCAGGCAGTTTTCTGATGCCAATCACACTTGAGTGTTTGTGTTAGACTATTCGGCAGCATTAGCACCATCTCGCCTCTTGACTGGAGAAGAACTTCCAGAACAATCCAATGAGGATATTGTTTCACCAATTTCTGGATATTTTTCAGCAGTAAAATTGGGTACCCGGTATGATACGATGGTAGTCTGAATTTGAACCTTGAGCGCCTGACAGGCGACCGGTTGTATTCTCCACATGGAGCGTTCTGTACTCGTTGTCCAGGGGTAATATGTCAGCGCTTTGAGCATGCAGTGTACATGGATAAACGCGCAATATAAATAGACTATTATTATTATTATTATTATTATTTTGTCATTGGTTCCCAGTTGAGTAGATCAATGCTCATGTTGTTGATCACTGGATTGTCTGGTCCAGACTGGAACATTTACAGACCACTGCCATATAGCTGGAAAATTGCTGAGTGCAGAGTAAAACTAAATTCACTCACACACCCACTCAAAGACTGACCATGCCATCAGAGACAGATAGTATGAAGTTCTTACAAATACATCCCTCTAAAACATGATAGTTTTAGTCTTGAAAAATGTTTCTCAGTCCACAGGTTTAGCTTATTTGAAAATGTGAATGTGTAGGGCTTTGAGTTGTCTTTCTGCTTAGTGGCCTTTAAAGCTCTTCCATCAAACTATGACACAGACTATTAAGCTGAAGTTTACAATGGAGGACGCTTTTAAAGCCATGCGGTGAACTCATCAGAGGGCTTGGAGATTGGATTAGAGCACTTTTCACTTTTCACTTTCACTTTCACAAGATAGACCCAGTAAGATTAATGAGGCAAGTTAATGATTTCCTTGACAGCCTTCATTTGCTTGATGCCCATAATGAATTTTGCAGAGGAATAATATTGTTTTACCCTTATTCTGACTCATACATATACTTCTCTCTCCCTTCATCCAAACTTGGAAAGTATGTGCTGTGTGACCCAAGAACAGCAAGGACATCTCACCTGAACATGATCAGGCCTGTTCACTTAGAACGTCTTAGTGTATTGTTGGGAGGGATGCCATTTTAGCATATGATTCAGGATAAGTAAAAAATGCATATTTACCTCATCCTGACTTACCTACTGATTGCCTGAATCGGTAAAATGGTGATGGGCAGCCACTTAAGTTAAAATTCTGAATTTTATAAAAGCTATTTCTACAATATGTTTGAAATACTGCCATTGTGACCATATTATTCAATCACTTACAGTTGTGACATAAATAATATTGAAATGGTCATCAAGATGTGGAAAAAATTGTCAACGGTATTGTTCATACTTATGAGGAGTTAACGTCATGTGTTCCTTTCACGATTTCTTTCAAACAGACGCCCCAGTGATCACCTCCGTCCCCAGCAACAAGGATGTGACAGAGAAAACCAGTCCCAACATCGACTGTAGCAGTAACATCACACCAGGCAACCCTTCAACAACAAGCTACAGGTGGACAGGTCCAGGTGGTTACAGCAAGGATGGGGCTGTACTTGACAGACCTGTCACCAGGACTCAGGGAGGAGTGTACATCTGTACTGCCTCCAACACTGCAGGACTGTCAGACACAGCTCAGGTCAACATCAATGTGCCATGTGAGTATATCAGTCATGCTACCATGATTCCTGAAAACACTTGTCATGCTACCATTATTACCAAATGCACCCTTTGCATGAAGGCGTGATCATTTGTTTCAGTTTTTAATCATGTACATTGGCATATGTCATCTTGATCAGCTTCATTATGCAAAAAGTTATAAAACCTGTCGTTACAATATCCTTAAAAACTGCCAACATGGCTGTATTTTTTTAAAGACTTAGGTATTAGACATAGATGCATTGAAATAGACATTTAAATACGCATCCTAAAACAGAAAATATGGATTTACCTAATGAACATGCTCTGTAAATTGTCCTGTGCAGTTAACTGGCGACCATATTTCAGTTATGTTCATATTTATATTTGGTCATGATCAGCCTAATTGAAATAAAGAATTTTATACATGCTATTGCTACAATATGTCTGAAATACTGCCAATGATGTAAATAATGACTTACATTTGAGACATAAGTACAATGAAATAGTCGTCAAGATATGGAAAAAACATATCAACAGTAATGTACATCCTTAAAAGGAGTTAACATCTTATGTTCCTTTCACCATTTCTTTCAAACAGACGCCCCAGTGATCACCTCCGTCCCCAGCAACAAGGATGTGACAGAGAACACCAGTCCCAACATCAACTGTAGCAGTAACATCACACCAGGCAACCCTTCAACAACAAGCTACAGGTGGACAGGTCCAGGTGGTTACAGCAAGGATGGGGCTGTACTTGACAGACCTGTCACCAGGACTCAGGGAGGAGTGTACAGCTGTACTGCCTCCAACGCTGCAGGACTGTCAGACACAGCTCAGGTCAACGTCAATGTGCAGTGTGAGTATGTCATTCATGCTACCATGATTCCTTAAAACACATCAAGTTGTGGAAACTCAAGCTCTCTATGTTATGTTCCTGAAGAACAGCAAAACCATCTCCCCCGACTGCACTCCTTTTTTTGCCCACGTGACCAAACTGGTGACTTGCCACTCGCTCACTTTTCGCCCAACAATATACTTGGGAATTGTATTTTCTGTGTTTAGTGCAAGCCATCCTAGCAATATTAAGTCTTAAAAATGTATCCTATCTCACGGTATGCACTTCTCTTTCAACCATAGAGTGGAAACGTGCTGTAAGTCAAAGTTGAACACAATCTTCTGGCCTCTCTCACCTGATAACTCTCCACTGCTCCCATTCCTGGACATCTCAATAGTCCTGGAAGCATGCACGATGCTTAGGCCGTTCCCATGACACCCATCTCAAGCCATTCTCTTTCTTGTCGCACATGAGTCTGGACGTGTATGAGCTCTGTCTCTGTCTGCTACTCTTCTTTGCTACATTATGGGGAAAAGTAATCTAGGAAGAGGAAATATTGTGACAGATGCAAGATGAACTTTTCTGCAGTGGATCCCCATTCACTATGCGGCGAATGTATTGGTCAGTGTGACTGGTCTCAACAATGTTCTTACTGTGCTGACTCAGAAGATGATGACTATTGTAAAGTCTGAAACAGAAGTGTAGCAGACAGAGACCGGAGGAGGTCTTCAGGGGGTCCCTCGACTTCCAAGAAATCCAAGCAGGATCGTCCATTCAAGATTGCCCATCGTTCGTCACCTTCAGCTGATGAGGTCTTCTTGGACACTCTGTCTGACTCATATTAAGTGAAAACGTTTTTTTTCCCCATGAGCCGTCCATCCCAGTTGACTGACAGGCCGTTTCTTCCTCTAGAGTGGTGTTTTTTCAACAGTCACCTTCTCAAACTTGATCAGCAATCTTCTTCCACCATTGTGTCTGCTTTGGCCGCCTCTATCTCGACTCATTCTTTGATCCCTCATTCTCAGGGAGCGGCGCTTTGAGTTCCTATCGACGATGTTCCTCATCACTCTGGATCGGCGACATAGAGAAGGTTAAAGATGGTTTCAATGCTCCCAGATTCAACTTGGCTGCAGCGCATGTACGCAGCTTCACAGCGCTGATTGCTTCACCACCAATTGATGATATTTCTTTGTTGGGCTCCACACAACTCGTTTCCTAGTTGAGGATGACGAGTTGTCGCACTTAGATTCGGCGATCTTTTAAGGCTTCCATCAATATTATTCTTACTGCTTCTTCAATATGATTCTTACTGATTCTGAGGCTGTTTCCATGTCCATCTCCCATGTCTCCTATCCACAACAAGCCTACATTAGGGGGGGCTATGGTGCTTATTCATGAGCAGTTCCAAACTGTTTAGACCAGCTAGCACATTTATTTTCCTATGTGATGGCAGTAAGAAGAAGACGTCCCCTCAATTAGTCGTCCTGCGAGGACTGGTTTAAGACACACCTTTTAGACAGCATTGGTCTGGTTGGACTTTGTTCAATGGTGCAATAAGATATATTGCTACCAAGGTGGGTCAGGACACGCAACTACATGTTTTCATGGGACTCTTAAAGTTTTAGCAGATGCAAGTTAAAGACTCTTTGCGTCAGTGACGTCCAGCGCATTATGTCCCAAATACTGCGTGAATCTTCGTCTTCTTCTTTTCATGGTCAACCGTCCTACCGAGGTCATCCCAGGAGGCAGCAGCGACCTCCCATCAGCACCCAAGGTGCCTCCAAACCAGACCAGGCTCGTGCAGCTGGATCCACTAAACAGTGACGGAACAGATCACCATGCGACTTGGACCTTTCGAACCCAGTAATGCCAGTTCGAGATTCTCCAGTCGACAGAAGACTTGGCGTTTATGCATCAAAATGAACGATTTTGGGAGACCCTCTCGTTCAGGCAACACCCCAGGTAGCATGCCATCATTGGCTCGACGTCGTGTGCATCATCGACCCAACATCGGCAAACTTCATCGGGCCAATGAAGTTTTGCTCATCGGATCGAATGTTGGCAAACTGCAATGGCCCTGCATCGGCCCTGCATCGACACTACATCGGTTCAACGTTGGCATACTTTATAGTCACTGCATTTGTCAATTGTATACTATATCGAATATTATTTGCTCACTTCACTTCTCTACGGTGAATACTTATAGGATATGAAACTTGTTCCCCTTTCATATCAAGTTTATGTCCCGAGTGATATAATTTTGCTTTGTCACGAGCTTTAGCGAGTGACAAAGCAAAATTATTTTACGAGGGACATAAACTTGATATGAAAGGGGAACGAGTTTTGTATCCTATTTATTACCCACGTTCTAAAAAATGAAAATATCGTTAAAATACAGTAATATTTTGCTTTCCTATATAGAACCGCACAGCGCAGATTAATACATCATATTGGTGATTGGAATGTCAACCAGTTCACTCAAGGAAAATGTATGCTGCATTGAGGCAATGTAGTTCCTTTAACTTGTCAAGAAAATATACAACTTAAGACAGAATCAAGTCAAACTTTTAGTCTTTTCAATTGGGTTAATTTATCAAAACACTTGTAAAGTGTAAACCTTTATTGAATTATATTTTTGGCGTGTGTGTTATGGGACAATTCCATATGGTTCAATATTCAATACTGGGTCTGTTATTGCTGATTGCTGTTTAAAATTCTTTGTCAGAACATTGACTGATGGATTGTTCTGTGCTGATTGGTTGAAGAACTTGTGATTCTTCAGTGGCTGTTTTCGTCGTTTTCCTGACATATTTCTCTTGACATGAAATTCTCTCCAAATCTGGTCAGGTATGCTGTTGCTGTATTCCCATGTGTTTCCTCTTTCTGGATCCTTCCATTTCACCCTGTAGTATATTTTGTTGTTTGCTCTCTTGGAAGCAAGAATTGAATGAATGTCATCAGGATTGAAAACCTTGGCGTCATTGCTTGACGTTGGTTGTTGGGTTGGTTGTTGAACCTGACTTGATTCTGATTGTGGCCTTGACTTTGGCTGATTATGTTTGCTGTTTAGTCCTCTCTTTCCCTTGTTTGTATTTCCTTTCGTCTTGGTGGGGTTACTTGGACCTGGGGTGCTCTGTTTCTGGTTTGTAATTGTACTGGGTCCTGCTGAGCTTTCCTGAACGCCTTTCTTCTCTTGAGTTGGATTCCTTGGATTTCCTGCCTTAGTTTTTGAATTGACTTCCTTACCTTTAGGTGATTGATCCTGGGTTGAACTTGTTGACTCTGCATTGTTGCTGTCAAGTTGTGGATCATTGATTGGTTCCTCTTTGTCATCTATGACCCCTGAATCTGCATTGTGGCTGTCAAGTTGTGGATAGCTCATTGGTTCCTCATTGTCATCTATGATGTCTGAATCCATATTGTTGCTGTTGTTGAGGTATGGTTCTGGTGGATACTTTGGACGATCAGCTGGATCGAAATATGGCTTCAGACGGTTGGCATGGACCAAATGGTTTGTGCACTTTGTCGTCAGAACTTCAGCATAGTTTGTAGGTGAAATTTGGACCTAAATGAACAATGTAATAACTGCCATACCACTTTTTGGTTAACTTGTTCAGAGGCCTTTTTCTACTTTTTGACAATATAGCCAAACTCTTTGACCTGGGGAGAAATCTGGCTCTTTCGCCTTACGATTGTATTGCTCGGAATATACCTCCTTTGCTCAAGCAGTGTTTTCAGCTGCAAAAGTCCTTGTAATTTCTAGCTCCTCAAGCAAAATGATAGCTTTTGTTGTTGTGGACTAAAGTTTCCTTTGGAATTAACGACACATCTTGTGGAGCTCTCATTTCTCGGCCGAAAAGCATAACAAAGGGGGACTTTTGAGTTGATGAATTTGGGGCCATCCGATAGGCCATCATGATGCCTGGAAGAAACCGGTGCCAATCATTTTGATTTTTGTGACAGTAGGCTCTTAGTGATTGATTGATGTAGGAATTGAGCCTTTCTACACAGCTGTTTGTTTGGGGATGATATGGGCTAGTATGAGTGAATTTGATAGCCAAAAGTTCACAAATAGCTTTGATTAATTTGGACATGAAGTTCTGACCTCTGTCTGAAATTAAGGTCCTTGGAGCGCCATACCGACAAAATATTTCTCTCACGAGAACATCTGCTACCTCTGTGGCTTCTTGGGTTCTCAGGGGAAAGGCTTCACACCATCTAGATGCTGCATCGGTGATGACCAAAATGTGCTTGTACTTGTCTGGTGTTGTTGGCAAAGGACCAAGGAGGTCAAGATGCCACCTGGTGAAGACCTCTTCCACAGGTAGTGGACGTAGGGGTGCCTTCTTGCTGTGGTAATGTCTCTTGGTCTGTTGACATACTTCACATGTCTGGACATACCGTGCAATTTTGGTGTACATCTTTGGCCAGTAGTATTTTGGTCTCATTGTGTTGTGCATCCCTTCCTTTCCATGGTGACAACCACCAAACTCGGAATCGTGGTAGGATCTCAGGACCTGGTTCCTGAGAGTTCTTGGAACTGCCACCTGTTTAATGAATTTGTCCGCATGACCCTTCTGTCTCTGTGGAACAAATCTGTATAGGATTCCTTCATCTATTTCAAAGTTGCCTGCTTCAATAAGGATCTTTTGGCGGTCCTTTTCATCTTCTGGAAGGACATCATCTTCTTTGTAGTCAAAAATTTTGGTAAAATCTGGACAAATTCTTTGTAGATGACGTAAGTTGGGATGTGCATTAATATTTACCCCAACCATTGTGGCTTGTGTGACATCATCACTTGTAGCGTGTAATGCTGCAACAAAGTTTGCTGGTACTGTTTGGTAGTCCGCTTCATATTCAAAGGTGACAGACAAATGAGTTGTCTGTGATTCACTATCTAAGTGATTAATACTTGGTATGCAATCATCCTCAGTCTGAGTTGATTGGGTGACCTGTGAGGATAATTGTTGGCTTGCTGAAATGTTGGTATGGCTTCTTTGCCCAAGTGAAGTAACTGTAAA